CCATGTGAAAAGTTCTATTCATTCAAAACCGTTAAAATTGATACGAGTGGATGAAGGGTCAAACGACGACGGGTTCACCCCAAACTTGGTGTGTTGGGGTTTTAGAATATGTAGATCAAGTTCAACGTAGCGGATCATTCATAATGTTGCTCAATCATGTGATTTTAGAGGCGTCAAGGAGGAAATCCTCTCCTATGACAAGGATACCCATTAATATCTCTCTCTCTCTCTCTCTCTATATATATATAGAGAGAGAGAGAGAGAGAGAGAGAGAGAGAGAGAGAGAGAGAGTAAAACTTGTGTCAACTTAAGTGGACGTCCACTAAGTTTCTTACCCATTGATGATCACTTGATTGAGCTGCTTTGTGGATGATCCGCTCCGTTGAACTTGATCTACATATTCTAAAACCCCAACACACCAAATTTGGGTTGAATCCGTCATGGTTTGACCCTTCATCCACTCGTATCAATTTTAATGGTTTCAAATGAATAGAACTTTTTACATGGCTCGACGGAGGGTCAAACCACGACGGGTTCACCCCAAATTTGGTGTGTTGGGGTTTTAGAATATGTAGATCAAGTTCAACGGAGCGGATCATCCACAAAGCAGCTCAATCAAGTGATCATCAATGGGTAAGAAACTTAGTGGACGTCCACTTAAGTTGACACAAGTTTTACTCTATATGAGTAAAACTTGTGTCAACTTAAGTGGACGTCCACTAAGTTTCTTAGTCATTGATGATCACTTGATTGAGCGACATTGTGAATGATCCGCTCCGTTAAACTTGATCTACATATTCTAAAATCACAACACACCAAATTTGGGGTGAACCCGTCGTGGTTTGATCCTCCGTCGAGCCAGGTAAAAAGTTCTATTCATTTGAAACCGTTAAAATTGATACGAGTGGATGAATGGTCAAACCATGACGGATTCAACCCAAATTTGGTGTGTTTGGGTTTTAGAATATGTAGATCAAGTTCAACGGAGCGGATCATCCACAAAGTAGCTCAATCAAGTGATCATCAATGGCTAAGAAACTTAGTGGACGTCCACTTAAGTTGACACAAGTTTTACTCTATATATATATATATACATATATATATATATGGGAAGAGGTTAATGGGTATCATGATTCATATGTCATATGAGGGGATAATACAGTGATGTTGCTCAATCTCAACCAAGTGTGTATATAAGGATTTCTCTCACGTACTCTCTTCACTTGGTTGAGATTGAGCCACATTTATATTGTATATGAGAGAATCTCCTCATATGACAAAGATACTTATTATTTTCACGTGTTTGTGCATGTATCCTCCTTTTTACAAATTTGTCATGTCATGTACCTGCATATGTACCCGTATCCGCGTAACTTAGATGGATAGTGTTTTTGCCCCCTTTGAAACCAGCGTCTCAATATCATATGAAGAAGGGAAAGTTTTGCAATTTAATTCAATTATGATGCAAACTCCTATTTAAGCAGTTGCATACTAGCTACATAAAGACTGCTAAAGAAAGTTTTTCTTTGACAAACTTTAGAGTTCTTTTTTTTCCCGTGTTTTGTGAGAGCTACATAAAATGGTTGAGCTATAGAAAACTTCACCTTTTTGTTGTAGTTTGTTCTCTTCAGTTCCCCTTTGTTGCTATCAAATTTCATTTGATCCATCATTTGATTGAATTTATGTATTTGTTTCTCAACTAGCTGTGGGATTTACAAGAACTTCTAGATAGTAAACAAGATGCCTCTAGCAGTCAGATGGTTGAAGCTGAGAGTGATAATGATGAAATGGATACAGACCCACTTCCAGGCAAGTCTTTTAAATATACTATCTTCAGTTACCATACTGTATGTAATTTTAATGTGCAAAATTTCAAAAGAACAAAAAATACACCTAGATTTTCCCTCTATCAAAATTATTGTTTTGGTGGATATCAATAAAAAGAAAAAGGTTAACTGCAGATAACCTGCTGTACCATTACGAAGTTGACCACTTATTATCCCTAAGCTTTTTCATGACATCTGCACCTTAGATGTCCATGTCGACAATTAACCCAGAATAAACAAAGAAAATTATCTTTCAATGCTTTAACTCGACCTTATTTTTAGTACACATGTGATCACAAATTTCTGGTTAAACAGGAAATAAGAGAAAGAGGACAAGCAAAGGTCAGAATACAACTTCAGCTGCAGATTTCTTTGCGGACATGGATGATTCATAGTTGAATCTCTCCAATGTTTTATTATAATTCTCAATCAGGATATATGGATATTCATTGTTGAACGTCTTATTGGGTTTTTTCATGTCAAATGGCTTTATAGTGGTCTCTTTTATTTCTCTTTTTGTTGGGTAAATTGTATCATTTTTGTCCTGATCATATAGTTGGCTTATCAGATGCATCATGCTAAACCAATGTTTATCGATTTTAAACCGTCTATTTGAACCCTTTGTGTCATTACCTGAGATGTGAGAGTTGTATTTGCATAACAGTAAGTTGAATTATGATGGCGAGACGGGGAAAAAAAAAGAAAAAAGAAAAAAAAGAAAGGCTTGTGATGGGAAGGCCTGTGTTTAAGTTCAAGCTGCCAATTTCCGTCTTTGAAACTAGTGAAATAGTCGTTAAAATTACTGAAAACTCAATGACATGGTTTGGATGAGCTTTCAGGCTCCCTGTTTGGCATTGATGCTCTATTGGGGACATGCTTTGGGTTGCATGCATTCGAGTCACTGGGTTAGAGCTGTGAAAAGCATTCTTCTTTCCCTTATGGCTTGAGTCAAAAGAAGACAAATAAAATAAATAAGAAGTTTCTAAAACTCTAGAAGATTTTACAATTCATAATTACTAGTTCGGTCTAACCGGGTAAACTAGGAAACATGAGTACCATCATATCTTAGTATTTTGTACTGTAAACTGGTCATCATCTATGAGAGAACATGATATTTTGTAGGCTAGTAAGAAAGCTAGTAACTTGGTTCTTAACCTCTATTTAAACTCATGATTCTTACAGATCCAAATTACTTCCCAGCATATGTTAAATAGTCCGAACTGTATAAATAAAATTTAACTTAAAAGAATCTTACGTTATATGAGGTAGGTCCTAATCAAATGGGATCCGTAAATTCATATTCGTAAATTAGATGTGTTTGAAAGTTTTAGCTAGCCAATCGGGAAAAAAAAAGAAAAAGAAAAAAAAAAGTTTTAGCTATCGAATTAATGCCAAATTTTCCTAATACAATTAAAACTCAAATGCTTATAATTTTCGCATAATATGATCGATGATGCACTTGTAATTACGTTTGATCTTTCTTTTATCCCGAAATAAATGGTAATTTAAATTTAAAAAATATTTACCATTTGAAGGGTACGTATGAGAAAAAGCCATTTTCATATTAATTATAGGGAAAAATGCTTCCAGCCCCCAAAAACTAAGAAAACGTGCTCCCCCTCAAGATTTTGTCAACGAGTATTTTGTCCCCAAAAATAAAGATTTTATTTTCTGAGCCCCCAAAACACAAAACCCAAGAGGTTAAAATATGTGAAGATCATAATAACATTCTCTCTCTCTTTTTATTATGATGTACTGAGATGATAGTTGAAATGATTGATGATGATTATTTTATTATTTTTGTTTTTTATTATTTTCGTTGTTTGTATTGGGAGATTGTTAAGGTTACGGGTTAATTGTTATGGTTACGAGTTAATTGTTAAAGTTATGAATCTCCTCTCTCTCTCTCTTTATCATGATGTTACTGTGATGATGTTGAAATGATTGAAGGTGATTGTTATTTTATTATTTTTATTTTTTCTTATTTTCGTATTTTTAGAATATTCGTTGTTAAGGATAATGGTTGGTTGTAAATGTTATGCATTGATTATTAAGCTTACGAGTTGGTTGTTAAGGTTACAGCTTTGTTATTAAGGTTATGGGTTTGTTGTGTAGGTTACAGGTTTGTTGTGTAGGTTACATGTTTAATTATTAAGGTTATGTGTTTAATTGTTAATGTTACGGGTTTAATTATTAATTGTTAAGGATAATGATTGATTGTAAAGGTTATGCATTGGTTGTGAAGGTTACAGGTTGGTTGTTAAGGTTACAGGTTTGTTGTGTAGGTTACGAGTTTAATTGTTAATGTTACGAGTTTAATTGTTAAGGTTACGAGTTTAATTGTTAATTGTTAAGGATAACGGTTGGTTGTAAATGTTATGCATTGGTTGTGAATGTTACGGGTTAGTTGTTAAGGTTATGGGTTTGTTGTGTAGGTTACGTGTTAATTGTTAAGGTTACTGGTTTAATTATTAGGGTTACGGGTTTAATTGTTAAGGTTACGTGTTTAATTGTTAAGGTTATAGGTTTAATTGTTAAGGTTACGAGAGAGAGAGAGAGAGAGAGAGAGAGAGAGAGAGAGAGAGAGAGAGAGAGAGAAAGATCCATAACTTTAACAATTGACCCGTAACCTTAACAATTAAACTCGTAACCTTAACAATTAAACCCGTAACATTAACAATTGACCCGTAACCTTAACAATTAACCCGTAACCTTAATAATTGACCCGTAACCTTAACAATTAAACTCGTAAGCTTAACAATTAAACTCATAACCTTAACAATTAAACCATAACCTTAACAATTAAACCCGTAACCGTAACAATTAAACCCGTAACCTTAATAATTAACCCGTAACCTTAACAATTAAACCCGTAACCTTAACAATTAAACCCGTAACATTAACAATTGACCCGTAACCTTAACAACAAACCCGTAACCTACACAACAAACTTATAACCTTAACAACAAACCCGTAACCTTAACAACCAACTTGTAACCTTAACAATCAATGCATAACATTTACAACCAACCATTATCCTTAACAACGAATATTCTAAAAATACGAAAATAATAAAAAACAAAAATAATAAAGTAACAATCCCCTTCAATCATTTCAACACCATCACAGTAACATCATGAGAGAGAGAGAGAGAGAGAGAGAGAGAGAGAGAGAGAGAGAGAGAGAGAGAAATTGACCCGTAACCTTAACAATTAACTCGTAACCTTAACAATTAACCCGTAACTTTAACAATCTCTCAATACAAACAAAGAAAATAATAAAAAATAAAAATAATAAAATAATTTTTATCAATCATTTCAACTATCATCTTAGTACATTATGATAAAGAGAGAGAGAGAAGGGTATTATGATATTCACATATTTTATTCTCTTGGGTTTTGTGTTTTGGGAGCTCAGAGAACAAAATATTTATTTTTGAGGCAAAACACCCGTTGACAAAGTCTTAGGGGAAGCACGTTTTCTTAGCTTTTGGGGGCTGAAAGTATTTTCCCCCTTAATTATATAGGACCCTTAAAATAAGGGTCTTGTCACGTTCCTCCCTCGCTCCCTAAGTCAAAGGCGGCGGATTAATTTATTAATGTGGGTCATAATAGGGAAAAAATAATTCATGGATTTGGACACATGACACAAAGTTCCTGGTACATATGCTCAGTGATTGGGACTAATTGCATAAATTACATCTTCCCTAAGACTGATCCAGCGCAATTGACCTAATCTTTTAGTTTTGGTGGTGGGTTATCTTTAAACAGCCACATGATAAATTAAAAACTATGAAAAGTATTACTAGCGAGAGTTAATTAGGGATAAAATTAAAATTTGGGCCTGATATTAACCTTTGTATAACAAAATGATAATGATAGAAATTATTGAATACATATTCCGCGCACATCAGAAAATTATAATAACTGTCGTTTTTGCGTCTGGCAGGATACTCATGTGCATTTAAAGTTGATCATTAGAGTATAAAGTATAGTCCGAGAAACTTGATATTTTATTTCTTAAATACGAGATATGGCAATAATTTCAAACTAGTCATTGTAAGGTATATGATTCTCACTAAGAGGGCAACATTATGCACAACCACACCATAGAAATTTCTTGCTTATTTGATTTTCGAGAGATTTTACTTGAGCATCATAGAGACAATGTTGGCCAATTATCTTCAACTATCACCTTCTTTCACGTGCGCACATATGCATGAAGGCAATTATGTACTTTGTTATTTTATTGGGAGGCACGAGAGGCACAACATTGGGCACACACTCAGCCACACCCTTTCACCTGCTACAGTGCAGGGTCCCACATGGGATTTTTTCCCATGTGGGGCCCCCTGTACTGTAGCAGGTGAGGGGGTGTGGCTGAGAGTGTGCCCAAGGGTGTGTCTCTAGTGTTTTTTCTATTTTATTCTCTATATTCACTAATGCATATCAGACTAATGTAATGGGAAATGTCCATGATGGGACTTAAAAATCTTCATACATGTGGTACATTAAGTTCTTAGAGCATGTTTGGATTAAAGGAAATAGAAAAAAGGGAAGTTACAGAAAACCGTTCATCCTATTTGGAAAATTTTTAGAGGGCTAAGCTGTTATCAAAATTAATAAATTAAACTTATAGCTTGCAAATAGAAATCCGAAAAATAAATTAAACAGAAAAATCTAGCCTCATCGGGAAGCATTCGTGCAAGCACTATCCTAGAAGATTGAAGACCCGTCTATCGTCCTGACGCAGATGATCCCCTCTCCCCTAGTAGTATAAACCCCCGGAATTGGCCAACATCTGTACTCGGGCGAGAGTAAAGAGCTTCTACTCAAATGAAGACGGTTGCTCAAAGTAAAAGCTAAAAGTTGGATGAAAAATAATAGCTTTGAAAAACAGAGGAGAGAAGAGAAGAACTTTCGTTTCATTTCTGTGTTTTTTCGAGCTCATCATACGACTATATATATATATAGGGCTAGAAACCCTTTATCCGTTGAAAATCTCCGCGTAACGTTTGCCAAATTCACACGTAACGTTCACCAAAATCTCACAGCCGTTATGCTCTTTTTCCACCTGAAAAGTAAAAGAAACGTGTAAAATGAAGTTTGAAAAAATAAAACTGCGTGCGTGTGCGATGTGGTGTGGCGTGGCGCGTGCGGGCGTGACGTGCCGTGTGCGCGTGTGATATACAAAGGCCAAACAATAGAAAGCCCAAAACACCCCATTCTTTGGAATCCTCAAAGCCCAAAGGAAAGAGAACTAATTTAAACAACCAACTATTCATCACACTAGGCAATGTGAGACTATTCATTGAAGGTAAAATTGCTTTTTCTCCCACAACACAGCCAACAATCCCCTCCAAAAGGTAATATTTGACTGAAAACTTCAAAATAAATAAATCAATAAATCTTAAAGCAAATATAGGTTGGGCAACCTTTCGTATCGTGAATTCGGGAGATGTAGCTTTCGGCTTTGAACATTTCTTTAGTAGGTTCATCGCAACCTGAGGGACATAATGGATTATGCCTTGAATTAGGCCCCTTATACCAGGTATTGATGAAAACACACACAATACGTCTTCATCTATTGAGCAAAGCGGGTTGAGCGTTAAAGTTCATGCGCACAATAACCAACTCA